TTTTTTTTTTTTTTTTTTTTTTTTTTTTTTTTTTTTTTTTTTTTTTATTTATTTATTTATTAGTGAGGAGACAGCGTATATGGAGATGTTACGTACCTTATTAGTAGGAGCAAAAACATCAGGGTTTAAGGCGATGGTTTGTAGGCAGATATTAAAGGCTTCTTCTTCCTTAACAAATAAAAACACTAATCTTCTCTATTCAATTGTTCCTGCTCTTGTACAAACTATTCAAGCTAAAGATGCTGTCAGCTCTGTACGTATTTTTAGGGTTTAGGGTTTAGGGTTTAGGGGTTAGGGTTTAGGGTTTAGGGTTTTTAGGGTTTAGGGTTTAGGGTTTATGGTTTATCATATTCGTTGTACCGTTCATCTTCTGAATTTACTTCTTTCTTCTGCTTGTGATGCTCTTTCTGCTGCTGTTGCTGCTGCTGCTGCTGCTGCTGTTGCTGCTGCTGCTGCTGCTGCTGCTGTTGCTGCTGCTGTTGCTGCTGCTGTTGCTGCTGCAGGGTAGTACAATGTCTTTAATGCATTTATGTGCTGCATCTTTAGTAAATTTAAGTGCAGGAGATCAAAAGACAAAAGAAATTCTTCTTGAGGGAGGAATTCATTCAGCTTGTCTTACCCTACTTAAGACTAAGGTATGCTGCTGCTGCTGCTTATGCTCCTGCTGCTACTGTTGGTGCTGTTGCTGCTGCTGGTGATGACGCTGGTTCTATTGCTGTTGGTGGTCTTGCTGCTCGTGCTGTTGCTGTTGCTGCTGCTGCTCTTGCTGCTGTTGCTGGATTTGATACTTCAGTTGCTGTCTCTTCTATAGGTGTGTTTGTTGTTGCTTCTGCTGCTGTTGCTGCTGCTGCTGCTGCTGCTGTTGTTGTTGCTGCAGGAGGCAAATGTTGTATTAGCTGCGCTGCTGCTGCTGCTGAATTTAACAAAGATGGCGGCGCATAGACAAAAATTTTTAGCTGTTGGTGGTCTTTACCCTATTGTTGATCTCCTTATGGTAAACCCTAAACCCTAAACCCTTGAATAAAGGAGTTCCTCTCTCTGTCTCGACAGCTTCTTAAGCCCTCTTCCTGCTGCTGCTGCTACTACTACTGCTGCTGCTTCTGCTTTTCTCTCCCATGCTATTGCTGCTGTTGCTGCTGCTGCTGCAGCACAACTACGCGTCTGATCTACCAGAGCGTCGTAGTATGTTATGTGCATTGATGGGAGTTATTGGCCAGCTAGCCAACGATGAAGACGCAAGAACTGATCTAGTAGACAGGTACAATATACAGCTAGCTAGCTATCCAGCTAGCTATACACGTGTACACCTAGCTGGCTGCCTACAAACCCAACTAGCTGCTCCACACATACACAACTAGCTAGCTGTGTCAATCTAGCTAGCTGACTATCTAGCTAGCTAGCTGAGTAGCTAGCTAGTCAGCTGTGTGTTGTGTGCGCAGATTTCCTGTGGTAGATTTTGTGTTATATGCATTTCATACATCAGCAGAAGATATACAATATAAAACAAAAGTAATTAATTAATTAATTGATTAATTAATTAATTAATTAATTAATTAATTAATTAATTTATTTATTTATTTATTTTATTTATATATTATTCATTTAGTTCTGCTGCTGTTGTAGTTTCTGCTGTTTGCTGCTACTGTAGTTGCTGCTGCAGTGTGTGCTTCTCTCGTGCTGCATTATTTGCTGCTCTCCTGCAGCACTGTTTCGTGCTGTTATTACTGCTGTTGCTGTTGCTGTTGCTGTTGCTGCTGCTGCAGATTGTATTTGCGTTACGACAACTAAGCCGTGGGCGCTGGCAGGTGCAGCAGCGAGTAAGCAAACATGTGCTGCGCTCTCTTGCTGCTGCTATCTTGGATTCTTCGGATTCAGAGTTTGTTGGGGTTTGCCTCTCCCTTCTACAAGTACGTTGCAGCAGCAACAACAGCAGCAGGTGCTGCTGGTGGGTGTTGAAACAGCAGCACGAAGTAGAGCAGCAGTGCAGATATGGGCATTTCCTTGTTCAGTGTTTTATAGTTTTTTATGTATTGTTTTGTGTATTTATTTATTTATTTATTTGCTTATTATTTATTTATTTATATTATTTACTTATCTTTGTTTATTGTTGCATGTTGATTTATTAAATATGTATTTGTGTTCTTTATCTGCGTTGCTGCTCTTGCTGTGGCTGTTGCTGTTGCTGTTGCTGCTGTTGCTGCTGCTTGGCAGACGTTAGCTGGCTATAAACCAAACTGTTTCGATATGAAGGCAGTGGGGCTCCAGGTGAGGCTGCTGCTGCTGCTGTTGTTGTTGTTGTTGCTGCTGCTGCTGTTTGCTGCTGCAGCTTGAACATTTGGTACTCCTCGTGCAGCTGTTGATGTTATTGCGGCTGGTGCTGCTGCTTCTGGTGGTGGTGGTGCTGCTGCTGCTGCAGGAGGCGCTGATGTCGATGTTGCGGCGAACCAAGTTGGATATTCTTTATCACCGGGTGGCGAATCTTCAGGAGCGCATCAACGCCCAAACTAAGTATGATTACTTTGCCGTCTAGCTAGCTAGTTAGCTAGCTGGCTAGCTAGTTAGCTAGTTAGCTCGCTACCATCTTGCCTCTCTAGCTAGATAAACAGCCACAACGAGTTTGTTGTGGCTAGCCCACTAGCTAGCCAGTCTGCTGCTGGATGCATATCAGGGCAGCTGTTGGCAAGCTAGAGGCTTACCCAGCTAGCTTCAGCGCTAGACGCTAACAAGGGTAGACAACAAATTGTTTACCTCAAGGCGGATAATTAGCTAGCTAGCTATTCACCTACCTACCTCGGGCGATATGGCTAGCTGGCTATATGGCTAGCTAGCCACAAACCAGTGTGACAGCAGCTCGCGGCTGCAGTGCTTCTCGACCTCGCGGGGGCTAGCTAGTTAGCTAGCTAACTAGGTGGATAGCTAGCTAGCTAGCTACCTAGTTGGGTCGGCAGCTAGCCAGCTGACGTTCTTGTAGCTAGCTGCCTAACAACCGAGCTGGGCAGTGAGCTGCTTTTGGCTAAAAACTGAATGCTGACTACAAAAATCTGTTTGTCAGTTGTAGCTTCTGCTGCTGCTGCTGCAGCGGCTGCTGCTTCTATCGCTCCCCAAGAAACGCTGCGACAAGCTGCTGCTGCTGCTGTAGCAGCTTCCTGCGGGCGGGTTCCCTGTTGAAGAGGGAGACTATTTGCTGCTGCAGCTGCTGCAGCAACAGCAGCGACGCCTTCTCGCTGCAGTGCTGCAGCATCGCAGCAGCACACTGCACCTCCCCGGGTGTTAGGTCGCTATTGCTGCTGCCTCTGCTGCTGAGCAGACAGGATAGAGCAGCAGCTGCTTCTGGCTTCTGCTGCAGCAGCTCATTTTCAAAGTTGCAGCAGCGCTGCAGCAGCTGCTGCCAAAAGGCAACTGCATAATGCCTTCTAAGGGGTAGCTGCACGGAAACTTCAGGCCGCAGCAGCTGCTGCTCCAGTTGCTGCTGCTGCAACGTTCTGTTCTCTTTAAATTGCTGCTGCTGCATCTGCTGCTGCTGCAAGTCTTTGCCCAGCACCAAGTGCCGCCCCAGCAGCAAACTTGCTGCAGCAAAGGCCACTCCCCTTAAGTCTATGCCGTGAAAAGCCCAGCAGTCCTTTGGATCTGCAAAGGACACATAGACACTCCCTGCTGCTGCTACTGCTGCTGTTGGTGCTGCTGTTGATGGTGCTGCTGCTGCCTCTGTTGCTGCTTCTGTGGTGTTGCTTTCGTGGGCGTTGTGAATGTAGCGTTGCAAGGAACAGCAGAAGCGTCGCACAGCAGTAGGGGCGGACCAACATACCAGCAGCATAAGAAGCAGCAAGAGAAGCAGCAGCAGCAGCAGGAACTTACCAGTGGTCTGGTCAGCAAAGGGAGGCTCGATGACTGGGCAGACGCCGCAGCACATATCGCGAGAGTCGATCCCAGCAGCTAAGTCGATCCCCAATACTGCAATAGCTGCTGCTGCACCTTCTGGCAGCAGTGGGTGGCTTTGCTGCTTCTGCTGCAGCGCCTTTGCTGCAGCGGCAGCAGGAGCTACGAGGAAGCTGCTTAAACTGATGTTGCAATGCAACAGCCCCACCTAAGAAGACACAACAGCCGCGCATTGCATGCAGTGCGTTGCAGGAGCAGAAGCAACAGCAGAAGCAACAGCAACAGCAGCAGCAACCGCAGCATGCTGACCTGGTGCAGCTGCTGCAGCAACTTCAGCTGTTCGAACACTAGAAACAAACAAAGCTCCTCCGGAGGAATGGCGCCCCTGTTCAGCAGCAGCAGCACACCGAAGGCAATGCAGCAGCAGCAAGACTAGACACAAACTAAACGAAGGGGTTGGAACAACAGCAACAGGAGGCAAGAAGCAGCAAATGAAAATAAGCGGGGGCAAGTGGCAGCAAACAGCAGCAGCAGCAGCAGCAGCTAATCATGTGCAGCATACTTCTCTATAAATAGTTTGTTGATTGTCTTCAGTAGAGAAGCCGATTGAGGCACAGCTGGAACAAGCAGGAGGGTCATATCTCTGCTGCTGCTGCTGCTGCTGCTGCTGCTACTGCTGCTGCTGCTGCTGCTGCTACTGCTGCTGCTGCTGCTGCTGCTGTTGCTGTTGCTGCTGGGACAGTCGAGTTGCTGCTGCTGTGTCTGTTCAGCATGTCGAGTTGCAGCATCGACGGTTCCTCTGCAGGACTGCTGCTGTTGCCGTAGCTCTTGCTGCTGGTGCTGCGGCTGTAGAGCCTGGAGGAAGTTGACGTGTCGCTGCAGCAGCTGCTGCAGCAAACCACCACCTAAGCAATCGGAGGCAGCAAGAGAGGAAGAGGCGCAGTAATGGGCTTCAAAGGGAAGCAGCCAATTTGTATCAGAAGTAGCAGCGGCAACAGCAGCAACGGATCCTGCTGCAGCAGCAGCTTTAGCTGGTGGTGCCTCCCGTGTAGCCGTATCAGCAGCAACACCAGTAGTAGTAGTAGCAGCAGAAGCAGACGCCACCGCTGCATGGGGAGTCACAACAGCAGCCATGCTACTGGTGCTGCTGACGGCTGTGCTGCAGTTGCTGTTGCCCTTGCTGCTTCTGCTGCCGTTGCTGCTCCGGAAGGCTAGCTTCCCCGCGCTTGTCTTGCCGGTGCTGCTGCTGCTGTTGTTGTTGTTGCTGCTGCTTCTGCTGCATTCATTTGTGCGAGGGCTTTCTGAGATGTCCTGCAGTCCATAGGTGTCAAGGGAAAGTAGCAGGCTGCTGTTGGTGCTGCTGCAGTTGCTGCTGCTGCAGTTGCTGCTGCTGCTGAGGCTGTTGTAAATGCTGCTCTTATCCTTCCTAGAAGTCACAGAAGCCTGCTGCCGGTGTAGCTGCTGCTGCGCGTGCAGCGCGGCGCCGCCGCTGCTGTTGCTGGTGGTTTTCTTGCTGCTGCTGCTGTTGCTGCTGTATTTGGTGTTGCTGTTGGTGTTTCCTTGTGTCCTGGAAACGGGCAACAAAGCCATCCGAGGCCTCGGGGTTTCTTTAGGACTTGGAAGGTCGCTGCTGCTGTTGCTGTTGCTGCTGCTGCTGTCGTTGCTGCAGCAGCAACGAGCCAAAGAACGGATGCAGAAAAGCTTCCCCAGCAGCAACTCGCGCAGCGCAGCACTTCCAGCATTAAACTGCAGCAGACGCAGCAGCAAAGACAGCAAAAACAGCAAATGGAGACGCAGCTGCAGCAGCTGTAGCGTGTTGCTGCTGCCGAAGCAACACAACCAGGAGACAAGACTGCAACTGCAACCCTAAGCCCTCAACCCCAGCGCCGTCACCCCCACACCCGAATGCCGTAAACCCTAATCATTGTACCATAAACCCTAAACCCTAAACCCTAAATGGCTTACAAATATCCTCGCCGTCACTGGGAAGGGCGCCGATGCCAAAGGAGAAGGTGCAACAGGCTGCAAAAGCCCACTGAAGATTCGTGGAGCTGCTGCTGCTGCTGCTGTTGCTGCAGCATGCAGCTCCTTGCTGCCCGGCGGAGCTGATGAAGCTGCTGCTGCTGCTGCCGCCGCCGCCGCTGCTGCATCGTTATCTTCCTTCAACAGCAGCAAACGACGCGGCGGCCTGCCGGAGTCTTGCCCCTGAAGCAGCAGAGAAGTATTAGCTTTGCCAGTTGCTGCTGCTGCTGCTGCGCCAACAGCAAGAGGCTTCTTCTGAAGGGCCCCAGGCGTAGCTGAAGGTCCTTTGGCCATGGCTACTGTTGCTGCCGAGCTTGCTGCTGCTGCTGATGCCATAGCAGCAAAACTCTCATAGTCAACGGGTAGCCTGAAGTCTGCTGCTGCTGCTGCTGTGCTTGCTGTTGCTGCTGTGCTTGCTACTGCTCTAGCTGCTTCAGCTGCTGCACAGTGTCGCGATGGCTTTTGGCCATATTCAGCGTTTCTGCTGCTGCTGCCGATGCCTCCCTTGCTGCTGCTTCTGCTGCCGCTGCCTCCCCTGCTGCTGCTCCTGCTGCCGCTTCTGCCTGAGCAGCTGGAGGAGCGATGAAGGGCTGCAGAGGAGCTGCTTAAGTTGGTCTTGCTGCTGTTGTTGCTGCTGCTGCTCCTGCTGTTCGTGCTGTTGGCGCTGTTGCTGCTGTTGCTGCTGTTGCTGCAGGAGTAACTGTATACCCCATATGACGGTATTGTAGGAGGAACAAGAGACAGAAGTAGAGGCAAGCTGCTGCTGCTGCTGCTGCTGCAGCTCCAGCTGCTGCTGCAGCTCGTGTAAGGCTGCTGCCTCCGCAGCCGTTGAATCTCTTGTAGCACCTCCTGCTGCAGCTGCTGTCTGTGCGTTGGGGGTGCAGCAGTAGCAGCAGCAGTAGAGCTGTCATCAGTGCAGCGGCCTAGCACCGCGCAGAGTGGAGGCAGCAGCAGCATTGCTGCTGCTGCTTCGTCCTGCTGTTGCTGCCAGTCAGCGCTGCACAGCGCCACAAACCTGAAGGCACAGCAGCCAGCAGCAGCAGCAGCAACAGCAGCAATGAACTACGGGTAAAACAACACCTGGCAAGAGAAAGGACTTAATGGGCAGGAGGAACTTGCATGCGTTTGTTATATCCCTGGACACCCCATGCATGCATGCATGCGTGCATGCATGCATGCATGGGGGTTTAGTGCTTGCCTGTCTTTGCTGCCTATGCGAGAGAAGTCAACTGCTGTTGCTGCTGCTGCTGCTTCTTCCGGGAGCAACTGCTGTTGCAGCAGATGCAGCAGCAGCTGCAACTCCTCTTCATTTGCTGCTTTCCAACCAGCAGCGCCATCTGCTGCTGCAGTCTGCTGCAGCTTCTGCCTCAGGGAAGGCAGGGGCAGCAGCAACTGCTGCTTTTGCTGCTGTTGCTGCTGCAGCACACGAGACACTCGGCTGTCCGACATGCCCTTTCCCACGTGCTTCCACAGCAAATTCTCCAGCAGTTCCTGCTCTCGCAGTGCCCTACCCTGCTGCTGCTGCTGCTGCTGCTGCAGTTGGTGCTGCTGCGGCTGCTGATGCTTTCGCTGCTGTTGCTGCTGCTTCAGATGCCTGAGCTGGGGAGGGGATCGCGGTGTATCCGCAAGTTGCTGCTTCGACTGTCTCAAAATGCGTGCTTCCTGCTGCTGCTGCTGCTGCTGGAGTTGTCTCTGCTGCTGCAGTTGTTGTTGTTGCTGCTGCTGGAGTTGCTTCTGCTGCTGCTGTTGTTGTTGCTGCTCCTTCTGCTGCTGGTGGTCCCGGTGGGCTCTTGGTCGCCTCCTCAAGTCTTTAGCTGCCTCTGCAGCTGCTGCTGCTTCCACCGCAGGGTTGTCAGAGCAACGAGCTGCTGCTGCTGCTGCTGCAGGAGCAGCAGAAGCACGGGCTGCTACCGCTGTCTTGGCCACATCTGCTGCTGCAGAAGGAACTACTAAACGTGTGCTTGTGCTGCTGATTCTGCTGCCGACACATTCCGTCCGTTGCACCTGCTGCTGCTGCTGCTGCGGCGGCGGTTGCTGCTGCCATGATTGGCCAGGCCTCAGCTGCGGCAAAGCAAACGCATCGACACCTCCGCTGCTGCTCCTGATGCTGCTTCTGCTGCTGCTGCTAAGAGGAAGACAGCAGGGCCCCCCACCAGCAGCAGGTGTAGCCCTTCGGGGTAGCTGTGGTTGCAACTGAGGCTCCTTAGGAGCCTTCTGCGAAACCTGCTGCTGCTGCTGCTGCTGATTAGGTTTCTGCTGCTCTTGCTCATCTTGCAGTTTGTCGTGCCTAGGCAAGGTGCCACGGGCACTAATGGATTTAACAGATATCGTATACAGCTTGTCCTCCTTGGCAGCAGCAGCGGCAGCAGCAGCAGCAGCTTCTGCTGCTGCTGCTTCTGCAGCTGCTGCTTCTGCTGCTGCCTTTGCAGCAGCAGCCTCGGCCTCGCGATGTACTTGTAGCGAAGCCCGCCGCTGCTGCTCCTGCAGCTGCTCCTTCTCTGTAGGCGCAGCTACAACAATTGATGGAGAGTCTTTAGCAATAGCAGCAGCAGCTGCTGCTGCAGTTGCTGCTGCTGTGTCTGCCCAGACCTTTAGCGGCGCCTCTGGTGCGAAGAGCTCAACGGGTGTTGTATGGGTTGTAGAGACGCAGGTAATGCTCTTAAAGGGAGGGCTTAAAGATAGCATTTGCTGCTGCTGCTGCTGCTGCTGCTGCTGCGGAGGCGACACCTGAGGGCCAGGGGTGCGGAAGAAGTGGCCGCTGCTGCGGCGATTGCGCAGCTCTGGAGCCGCCATAGGCAATGTGCAGTGAATGTTGCTGCTGCTGCTGCTCCTGCTATGCAGGTCAGGGCAAACCAGCGCAGCAACAGCAGCATCATCAGCATGTGCAGTTTCGCAAGGATACTGCCCGCCATGCAGGAGCAGAAGGGAGGCTTCCGTAGAGCGTAATTCTGTTGCTTTACTTAGGAACCCCATATGCTGCTCCCTTTGCTGCTCGTGCTGCAGCAGCCGTTGCTGCTCCTGCAGCAGGTGCTGCTGCGGCCCGTTGCCGTTGCCCTCCATCTTGCTGTCACAGCCGCTAATGGCGTCGCTTCAGTTGCTGCTGTTGGTTGTAGGGGTTCCGGGTAGTAACCCATAACCCTTAAGCAGGGTTACAATTGCGACGACAGTAAACCCTCATTTCTTGCCTAGCCGCATCAAGCCGATAAAGAAAGACAAAGCCTTTTATTTATATTTTAGCAACAAATAGAAATGCATTTGCTGCTTTTCTTTGCATCACAAGCGCCCCCCAGCAGCGGCTCGGTGGGGTTGTTGTGTCTGCTGCTGCTGCAGCAATGCCAGAAGTTGCAGCAGCAGCTGCTGCTGCTGCTTCTGGCGTTGCTGCGGCAGCATAAATATATAAATAAAAAATATTTTGAATACTTATCTGTGTGAAAATATGCGAGTGTCTACAAGGCTTGTCTATTCTTTGCAGAATCTCCCTCTTTGTCGGCCGCGGGGCCCCGTTGAGTCGAATAAATGCCTTAAACCGTAAAACGCAAACCCTAGACTGAATGGAGGAAATATGCACTAGAGGAATGGCACTGCACTCTAATGATCAGCCAGACTCTAAGGGCCGCTCCGTACTGGAGAGGTTTAGGATTTTGGGGTTTGCTACATAGACCCTGGCAGTGGTAGTTAATGTACGATCTGTCCAATGTTGGCAATCGCTGGCTAAATAGGGCACATAAACCCCTTCCCTGTCTTATTATGTAAGCTATAAGCAGGAAAACCACCTCAACAACTGCCTGCAGTGCCTGCACATGCAGCAAAAGAGGCTTGTTGGTGCTTTTATGAGACGCTTCTCTCTTCCTGCACCCTGTACGGGTTGCAGCAAGATGACTTGCATCTCATGAAATGCCGCCTCCTTTACTGCAGCAGCAAGCGCTAACGCCACTGGGCACTTGGCACAGGGTGTATGCATACTGGGCATAGAGATCGTGAGGAGGAACTCTCTTCCTAGGCGCCTTCATATAATATCTCACACCTCACTTACACACTCCCTGTCCGCTAACATAGTAAACAGCGGGCTCTTAGAGAGGCGTACAGCGTCTGTTTAGATATTGAAAACATCTCCACTATATGCATAATTCATAGTGCATACTCGATATACGAGCAATAACAGTGGTAAGACCCGTGCTATGCGTGCACGAACAGCCGTCGGCTCAGTTACTCAGTTTGTGCTACTCTCCGTTTGCTGCTACGGCTTGCTACGTTTGTTGCTGCTGCTGCTTCGGTATGACAGTATGGCTGTTTTGACAGTGCTCGCTAGTTGTGGGGCACATAGTAACGCCTCCCCTGACCCCCCATTCTATAATAATAATAAACCCTAAACCCCAAGTTGTAAAGATAACTTCGAGACAGGTCAAGGTTTATGCTTCCGGGTTTAGGGTTTTCCTAACCCTGTAGAACCGTTTAAGCAGAAGAAGGTCAGAGCATTCAAGTTAAGGAGTAATAGGAGAAGCAAAAGCATTGCAAATAGATAACAGCCCCTGCATGGATATAAGCAGGAGTTGCCTTCACCAATGATTACCTTCTGCCAGCGTTGGGTTCTGGGGTGTCTCTGCACCACTGTACGATTGTTAATGCACTGCCAAGCGAATATTCTCCTGCTGCAACGGGGTTTGCTGCATCAGCAGGCGTTGCAGCAGCAGTATGATTCGCTGCAGCGTATGATTCGCTGCAGCAGTATGTTTCCTTGCAGGAGCAAACATTTTTGCCGCTGCAAAATGGAAGCGATCTACGTTGTGTGTGAGTATACATATATATTATATATGTGTGGATGTGTGGATTCTTTTACACTGCGTCATCGGATTTCTTTGCATCTTTCCTGCTTTCGATCTCCCTGTAGCTCTTGAACTCGCAGCCGTTTCCTCCAGCTTTGAAGACGCAGGCTGCTGACCAGAAGAGATTTGCAAAGCCCAAGATAACAATGACTGTAAGGAGCTGCGAAATGGAGGAGGTAACCATGACGGTTTGGAATTCAATAGTGCCGTCAGACATCCCTTGACCCCAATGCACCCACTGGACGATAAACGTCACCAGCTGCGCATACGCACGAAACGCAAGGTAGGAGAGACGGCAATCAAAAAGACAGATTCACCAAGCTGCAATGCATGCAGACCCCTTACATTACTAGAGTGCATATTATGTATCCTAGTACTAACTATTACTGCCGCGTACCTAGTACGCCCGCGGGCTATAGACATCAAGTTGGAACGACATCAAGTTGAAACGAAATAAACAAGAACACTTACTTTAAAAACTCCATTGAGTAAAGTGACGAAGAAGGCGCCGAAAGTTAGAATGTACGCAAGGAGGCCGAGCTTGAGGAAGCCCAGGAGTACACAGAGCAAGATGTAGCCGCCAATGGCCGCATTAACAATCCCTCCAACGAATTGGGTTTCCTCCTGGGGAACTGTCTGCTTGGCCTGGTATATGTCCAAACCCCCAATAACCCCAAAGTAAGCTGCTATGACCATTAACGCTATCGACAAATTGAAGCAGCAACAGCTCTTCTCTCCAGCGGGGTTCAGGCAGAGCTGACACATTTTCTCAGTCTCGGCAGATACGAAAGACTAAAACTTGAATCCTTCGAAACCTTTGTAGACTTAAACGAGGCGAAATCGACAACAGCAAGCTGCGTCTAAAATCGGAGCTCTTGTTGGCTAGCGCGTTGTCGACACACCCCGAGGCGAGAAAATACCGGTGAAGAAGAGGAGGAAAAGGCAGCAAAACCGCAGGCAAATACTTCTGCATATGAAAGGAAAACAAGGGAAAAAGAAAACTGCAAGAGAGAAGCACAAGCTCTGCTGATGGCTTCGGGTTTCATGCTTCGGTTCCGGCTGCTATCTATGCAATCAATGGTCAGCTTTCTGCGTGGTTAACCGTCTGGCACTTAGGACCTATTAAAACCCTCTGGATTGACACTTCTTTCTATTTTGATTGGTTATATTTAATTATAAGGACTTCTTAACTAATGTTGAATCTCGTTTGCATAGTACGGGTGACCATTGTTGCACTTCTTCTCGTCCATCGACTGCTCCGATCCGCAGGCTCTGTAGCGGCTGTACTGTGGTGAGCAGCATTCCAAGCCCTCTACTGCCCTTAACTTCTATTGAATTGTCATAGCCTTCAACTTCTTTATCTATGCGTACCTGCAAGGTATGATGTTTTGTTAGCCATGCCCTCAAACACTGTAGTGCTGTGCAGCATGGTGTGTCTGCAATATGTGCGTTGTTTTTACTTGAGGGCATGCTGACAAGTAAAAGTCAAGAAATTCATTATCAGTTGAGTACACTGCTACTTAATGCACCAAAGGAACCTGAGGTACGCTTGCATGTGGGTTTGCCGTGCACGGGGAATTGCCTCGAGGGTAGCTGCACCTCGTGGAACACCTACCCTCCTCTGCACACAGGGCAAAGGCTTTTGTGTCTCTCTGCTGAGAAACAACGGACGTGATGTACAGTGTTTTGGAGACGTTCGCCACATGCATGCTGACTACTGCAGCCCAGTACTGTTCAGTAATCGCAGAAAGTACCATAGCAAGCAACGGATGTTAAGCCAGGCAGGAGAGAGCAGTCAATTGCTTACCCTGCCAAGTTGCAGGATGTATTCCATTGAGTTGTTGAGGACGCAGTGAGAAAAATCCGCTCTTCTGCGGAGTTATGCTACCATATTCAAAATTCCCGAAGACTCCTGGAATCTCCCTGTTCAAAAGACAAGACACATCACTTGTGAACATATAAATGCAAGGGTCCCATTTCTAGGGATCATATATGGTGTTAACAAACTTTTCCACAGGCTCTACTGGGAAGGGATGACCCCAGGTCGGCAACGCCGCAAGTGACTACAGGACTGCGGGAACTGGAATGAGCCGGGCTGCCGATGTAGTCGTGCATTCAGAAGTATCCTTGTTGGGCGAAGGAACCGTGATCTTGAAGCCGGAGATACCCTATCAATTACCTGTAGCAGGCCAGACTCTTGTGGAACAGCAACACAACATCTTTGCCTGTGAGGGAGTGAGCCACGAGCGATACCACTAAAACTGCGGAGCTGACAGCCTACAGGCTGCCAGCAACTCCCAATTACTAGCACGATAGTAGAGTCAGGAGGAATTCCTTCGGCAAATGCCAGACTCTTTTTATGCTCATTTACACAACACCCATACACTCATCTCTCCTCTTTTCACATATTTATCCATTCTGTCCACCCCCTCGCATACAGATACCCCACCTAGCCACCCGTACACACATACTACGCTTACACACATCTACAACTCACACTACAGCTACCTCCACACGCACGCAAACACAAACACCACTCTTCAATATCTCTTGAAGTACCCAACTCCCATCCACCTTCAATACTCCTACACAGACACATATTCGCGACTTCCCCGACAAACAAAAATACAATGCGGATACCATACTGCAGCAACAGAGTCAATGCTACTTGCACTCATTCTCACGGAACTGCAGGTGCTAGAGGAATGAAAATACACAAGGATTAGGTACAATAGGTGATCAGTTTGAATCGCGAATAAGAAGAAGGCGAAGGGGAGCGTTGGCTTTGCTGTGGAAGGTGGTGAGAGGGAGTTTGGTTTGAGGGTAGGAGAGTCAATTGTTGGTATGAATTGTGTGTAAGGTGTGTATGGTAGAGTGTTGTTTGGAGAGTATTATGTTTGCCGTCGT